CGTCAGCAAAAAAACATCTGCACGGTTTGAATTATCCTAAAGCCGATCTACCAAACCGGAAATTTTGACAGAACTGATCAACTTGCAACAACCAAGCGTTTAACTATGTCAGCGAGGTTCGCATTCCTTCAACAAAAGAACAATGGAAATGCGTCCGTGCCCTAGTAGAATGGGTTGATTCCTCCGAAGCTGCCGCGACAAACCTATAAAAGTGGCAGACCGACAAGACGCTCGGTCTTAAACATGCCATAACCCTGTCAGCACATGTCCTGGTACCGACAACAGTCCCTGATGCCAGGACAGTAACCCAGAAATCTGCACAAGGAATAACTCTATCAATTTTTTGCTTTCATCTCCTCCACTCGGTTCAGTATATTTGAGGGTAGATGGCAGAGCGTATGACCATATAACATTGGTGGTTAATGTGCAAATCCAGTGACTTGATTATATCCAGCAATCACAGTAAAATATCCAACTTCATTAGCTCCAAATAATATACTTCTTAAAGACTCGGAAATTCTTTCCGGGTTTATCGGGGCATGTTCCTTGTTCTGTGTGAATTTTGGATAGTATGTTTTCTTTTTCCAAAAAACAGAAGCCAATTTGGATTTTGGAGGACCATGAGCCTTTAGTATGCACAAAAACACATGGAGGGGAATCATTGAGACCTGTCACACTTCCTTCAGGGAAAAATTCTATCAGAACGCAATAGACGTCCAGAAAAAAAGCCTATTTGTAATTAACGGTGTCCATGCAGGTGACACGGGCACCACGACAGCGTTGACGGTGGGTCACGCAACTTTAGCTTTCATCATGGTGATCTGTTAGATTTCAGTAACAACAGGGGATGCGAAAGTTATATCGATGGCAAAAGAAATATGGAGAGTGATTTTTTTACCTTTCAAGAGAAATACGAGAACACTCGCTCCAATCATATCTTGCAATGACAGACTCCAGCAGTGGATGTCTACGCTAACTAGACAAGTGTGATCAACATGCCAAATTGCAGTTTAAACTGGGATCTAAAAATGGTTGTTTACGTAAGTATCGTTTTGGTTATTTGCAAGACCTTTGAACAAGTGGCGTGTGTCCTTGGTAGGATAGCATTGGTACCTCGTACTCACAGACCGATAGCAGCATATGAGAACTAACATCCCCATTTCTATCAACAAGGTACAAGCTTCTGGACTTTGACGGACAAACTGGACTTCTAACCAAGAAAGACTAAAAAAGACCCTTGGGATTTTGCCATTAAGACAGCCACGGAATGTTACTTGTCTCACAAGTACGTAAACAGTCCCCATTATTTGACGGACTCACAAATCCAGCCCAGATTAGCTGAGACTGTGATCCAACTCTCGCACTGTTTATAGTAATTTCCCACCTAAACAGAAACGTCAGTTTGTTTTAGTTTATTATAAGCATGCATACAGCTGAACCGTCAACAGCCGATCAGAGGGAACTCACTGTACATATGGCAGGTCACAGCTTGCAGGCCTGATTTAATACACCACAGATGCCTTCAGTTATGGGCACATCAAAATGACAAACGAAAGTTTAAGTAACATTGGTCTCCTTACTTTAAGAATCTTTCTGATTTCTTTGGACGAGAGATAACTGATATGGATTACTAGCCTCAAGGTGAAAAAGCGATTAAATCACAAAGAGGAACTATGCTTAAATATACCTGATCCTTGCATGTGAGCTATGTAGCAACTGAGTAATTGGTTCACTCGTCGAGTGGTTCTCCTTTTCTTGCAGCTTTGGCAGCTACCAGAATTCGGATGCAATTGCAATCTGACATGTAGCATATGACGGCTCGACCGTCGCGAACGACGACGCCAGCGTGTGTCCCCCTGTAGAGTGGGCACAGGACCGATGGCTCAGGCGTGAATAAATTGATAGTGAGACAGACTGGCGCTCCATCCATCGTACTCTCTCCCTCTCTCTCTCCTATGCAAAGACAATGTCAAGACAACCGGAAGCGGTCTGGGATGCAGTGGCTGAAAAAAACTAAACAGCCCGCCTTCACACGCCATACCCGAAGTGGTCCCCACAAAAGGGCGGTTTTGATCCCGTGTGCCTGAGGGTGCCAGTGTCATAATTAACACTGCTGTCCACTCTTGCCCTTATCAGTTCTGCTGTCCCCGAGAGCCCGACAGGGAACGTGGTTATGGCGTTGCGTTACGTATACGTTTGTCGGAGTATAGGAAGCAGCTGTGTTGGGTCAGATTAAGAGGCAGTACGTACACTGGATAAGATTTACGCTGGTGTGCCTTATCTTAAAGAAGTTCCTACTGAGCTATCTCCCCACTATATAACAATATTTAATGATGACAGCAGTTAGGACGGAAACCATACTTGAAGACAGGAATGTCTTTGTATAAAAAAGAAGAAGGAACATGATGTAGGAGTTATAAGCTCAAACGTATGAATCAGGTTCTAACTTTGCGGATGATTTTACAGCGATCAATACAAAAGCAAAATATGATCTACTTACTAGCTAAACTTATAAGAAGAATTAAGGTTCGTGAAAAATTACCATATTTGTCATGTAACTTTTAACAAGAACATTATTCTCATCGGGTTCACTCAGATGTTAACGGCATGAAAATATAACACAGTTTATTAACGAACGTTGGACATAACAATCTGAACCAAATAAAGCAACTAGTTAACTGTACACCATAAATGATTCTAATCCAGCCAAGAAATGTCCTTTCGAAGATTATTCATTGTCTGCACATTGACGTTTAGATTCAGTATCCATTTCCATGATAAAAATAACGGCAGTGTAACCAGTCCTCTTGCATTATACTTCAGTCTCTCCTCCCCCTTCTGTTAATAAATCACAGTGCGTAAGGGAGGAGACCGTTCCTCTGACAAAGTAATCTATCCTGCAATTACACTCGATATTTCTATTACTCCGAGCGAAGAACAGAGTCATTTTTCTGAGGAATCTTCTGCGCTCCATATGCTGGTTACCGAAAATAGCAACCAAAACAAGGGGGAGAAAGTTCCTCAGGGGAAATGGGAAGCACTTGCGCCACGCCGTTTAAGTTCTGCCAGACAGTGAAGTCACTCTGAGTCTGCTCCACCAGACTATGTATGCACTCGCTAGTTGTTTGGTCGCCTCTACTGACTTCAGAAACAAGATTTCTTCCACTTCATTCTTAAAGCATGCTCCGCTTGAAATTGCATTCATGTGTCTGTCAAATTTTTGAGCTGGCAAATCTACAGTATATACCGAAAAATCAAACGAAATATTTGCGTTTTGCAGGGTGGCGGAGTTCTACCACGCTGTTCGGCGAACGATTTTATCCGATTGGTCCAATATGCCGTAGATCTAGATGCGTCGTAGAGCGACAGCGTGGAAAGATAGCTTTTTGGCCTAGATTTGGGTTTTGACTGGTCACACTTTTTTGGTCATTAGCAGTTATGGCTGTTGGACTGTTCAAAACCACCGTGTTTGCAATGGACTCTGATCCGCAGCATGACTATTTCCGTCTACCAGGTGAAGCAAGGCTTGATACACCGAAGAGACGTGAATATATGCATTCACTGTTTGAGCGCTCGACTAGCCTAATGCATCATATGGAACACTGCACACCTTCATCCGAGTAGCGTCAATAATGTGGATGTCGGAAATCAGGGCTCCTGCTCCCGTTTGTCACTTAAAGCTGTTTATTTTACCGTTTTATTAATTTTTCCCGAAATACTTGTCAGCCCAGTCTTCAAAGTCCCTCTTGAGACATTCCACACAGTCCCACCAAGAGACAAGGGACTCATTTTCAGCGGTTATCCGCAGGAAAATGTGGCCTGTGAATTGGAGGCGCAGTCCTGCCTCAGAGGTTGCACTTGTTTTAACTGCATTCCAAAAACCCACTTTCCGTGGAGACTGACAATGAAGAAGTTGGGTTGCCTGTCCCCGTTTCTCTGGCTAAAAGTTCTCAGGCCGCAGCATCCAACGCATTAACTGGGGTACAACCGCTTTTCAGTTATGGAATTCGGGGGCTTTTTAGCTGCACTGATGGGTTCACAGCACCCTCAGGTGCACGTTTGTGAGGAGGTGGCGTTAACGGGACTTTGGCGTTGATCATGCGTCGTTTTACAGTTTTATTGACGATTTCCTATGGGAAACCGTTGTAGACACGAGGAAAGGAAAATTTAGATTTAGAGTCTGAAGGCACTTCGCAGCAAACGGAGTTAATGGTGCATCATATGAGTGTTTCAAAAGGATGCCATAAGAAGATGGCTATCATCGTGAATTAGTTTACTCAGGTGAGGTAACCTGACGAGTAATAAATAAGCATTAAGACTGTAATGTTGTTTCCTTAGTATATTGCTGCAATGGTCAGAAGATGCCGGGCACACTTACATGTTCTGGGAGTTCGCAAATCTAAGCACCGCTGTTACAAAAAACAGATGCTACCACTCTACAGCCTTGCTACATCTGCCGAGATGGTATGGTCGGCAAGACAAAGATCCCCAAATTAGAAATCAGGGATGACGGATTGGGTTGGATATCATTTACTGTTAATGAAGTGCGTACATCAAGGCTCTGCAAGCAGTCGTCGCAAGCTGTTTCTCTAGGAAAATTGTGTTGTCTGTGCCCGCCATTCAGTTGCTTAGACCCCTTAGTGCGTGTGTCTTTCGCTCTGCCTCAGTGTCGCTAGATAATCAAAGAAGGGGCAGCCTTGACTGGCCTCCAGTGCTCGCAAGGCTACTGACAAGTCTTGCGCACCCCAACAGCGACTCGACAGGGAGTGTGAGGCGGCGTGACGAAGTGGTGCAGAACTAGCAGGCGCCGACTGCCAGAGTATCCACAAGCTAACCCGAAGGCGTGGTGTATCAGCATCGAAGGAAATGTTCATGTGTAAGACAGAAGAGTAACCGAACGGTCAGGAAAATGAACATGGCGTCCACTACGCGTAATATATACTGGGGGCACAGGTGAAGACTGAGTATGGCTTGTGGTTAATGTTAAGGTTGATGAGGGTTTAGTTGCAGTTGGGGGAAACGAACATGTAGGAGGAGGGAGTATACGGGACAGAGGGATAGGGGATCGGGAAGGTGGGGTAGGGGTAGAGGGGCACAGGGCTCATCCAGAGGAGTGTCCGGACGGCAGCATTGAGACGGTTTACGCTCATGACCTCCTCGCGAACTTCGCGTTGGGTGAGAAAGTTCTTCGTCCCACGAGAGATAACCCGGTGGGGAGCGTCGTATGATCGTTCCAGGGGCCAGCGGACTCGATCACATCGGAGATAGATGTGGGAGAATGTCGCCAAGTCTTTCTCCAGGTAAGACCCAAAAAAGATGTTCTGGGCGGGACCGGGAAAAGTGGCCATATGAATTGCCGGAGACAGTGCAAGAGGTTGGTAGGATCTTCGGCCGCACCTCGCGGGGTTGACGAGATCATTTGACAGGGAAGTCGGATGGCGTTGCTTAACATGAGTTCAGCGGCGGAACAGCCAAGGTCCGACTTCAGAGAGGGGCGGATGCCAAAGATTATCAGTGGGAGGTGGTCCGTCCTAGTTTCCAGATCGTCCGCGGCGCTTAGGGAGGCGTTCAGATGGCGGTGAAACCGCTCGATCATCCCGTTGGCTGCCGGATGACGCACTGTGGTGCGGATGCAAGAACAGCCTAAGGGGAGAAGAGACTGGAAGAGGTTAGATTCAAATTGGGCACCGCGGTCAGTCGTGATAGTGGAGGGAGTACCGAAAATGGCAACCCACCGACCGAGGAAGACCTTGACGACTGTTGTAATAGCGTCAGGCAGATAGACAGCTTCCGACCACCGGGTGAATCGGCCTACGCAAGTGAGGAGATAGGAACAGCCACTGGACAATGTCAGAAGGCCTATGATATCCAGTTGGACATGAGTGAAGCATGCATCCGTAGTGGAGAAGGTGCCGATAGGAGCTTCGTTGTGCCGTCAAACCTTACTCGGTTAACAGCCGAGACACCCCCGTATCCATGCTTTCAGGTCCTTGTGCATCCCAGGCCAGGTGAAGCGGTCGGGAACCAGCTTGCCGGTAGCTCGACTCCCAGAGTGAGAAAGGTTGTGCAGGAAGGAAGGGACTTTGCGGCGCAGGGATGGCGGCACAAAGGGGCGGTGGGAAGTGGTGAGGACGTCGCATAGAATGGTGCGTTGCAAGTAGTCAGTTGCAAGTCTTGGAGTCGGAGTCCGGAAAAGTCGTCGTAACAGGGAGAACCAACACGGCGCTGATTGGCAGCCATCTCAGCTGGGTCGATCCCGGGAGAAAGTTGGAGGTGTCCGATGGAGGACCTGGACAGTGCGTCAGCCACCTCATTGCGTGGCCCGTCGATGTGGCAGATGTCCGGGATAAATTGCGAGATGCAGTCCAGTTAACAACTTTCCCGGGGGTTGCGCTTGCCAGAAGTGGATTTGAGAGCAAATGAGAGGGGCTTGTGTTTCGTGAACACGGTGAAGTCCCAGCCCTCAAAGAAGTGCCGGAGGAGTTTCACGGCAAGGAACACAGCAAGAAGCTCCCATTTGAAATGTGCTATAGCGCGTCTCGGCAGGTGACAACTTCATGGGAAAGAAAGTCAAGGGTTTGATGTAACCCGCAAGGTGCTGTTAGAGAAGTGAGCCTACTGCAACATTGAAGGCCTCAACCATGAGGCGATTGGAGCATCAGCAGAAAATGCGTCAAGAGGGTCGCGTCGGCCAGGGCAGTCTTCACCTTGTCAAAAGCAGCGAGGGCGTCTGCAGACAACTCGAACGAACCTTTGGGAGCCAATAGGGAGCTCGTGCGCGGCAGGATAGTGTCGGCACAGTTCGATAGGGACCGGTGGTGGAAATTCCCTATGCCCAGAAATCGCTACAGCTGACGTTTGGACGAGGGAGGTGGAAAACCAAGTGAAGCCGCAACCTTCGATGGGAGAGGATGGATGTCCTTGGAGTTAACCAGATGCCCAAGAAATTCTAGGGAGGGCACACCGAAGATGCAATTACACGGGTTGAGAACAACACCAAGCTGTCAAAGGCGGTCACACACCGTTGCAAGGTGCCCCATGTGTTCTTCGGCGGTGGGGCTAGCTAACAAAATGTCGTTGATATGGGCGTAGGCAAATGGCAGGCCGCGAAGTGCTCTGTCTACGAACCTCTAAAAGTCCGGGAGGCGTTGCAGAGTCCAAGCATCATGTGTAGGAACTCAAAGAGGCCAAATGGAGTGGTAACGGCCGTTTTCGAAACGTCCTCTGGGACGATAGGAATTTGGTGGAAAGCACGAACCAGATCGATCTTCGAGAATACAGACCTGCCGAACAGAGCACTGACAAAATCTCGAAAATGCAGGACTGGATAGCGGTCTGGGTCTGTAACGTTGTTCAGGGTCATATACTCACCACGGGGACGCCAGTCAATAGTGGCGGCCTTTGGAATCATGCGGAGGGGCGAGGCCATGGGCCTTGAGACTTACGGATGATGCCCATCTGGAGCATGTGCCCGAACTCGGCCTTGGCGGCAGGCAGTCCTGCGGGCGTGAGAGGGTGGGGCCGAGACAACTCGTGAGGGCCAGTGGTCCGGATGGGGTGAATAGAATCGCTGAAGTTGGGACAAGCGAGGCCGGGGTATCTAACGAGGAGTTGCCGAAATGGATTTTCGGGTTCAGGACTGCGATTCGACGGGAAGCGTCAGAATAAGAGATACCCCGGACAGGAAGTCTGAGCCGCGAATGGCATAGGGGATGTCAGCATTGACGAGGACGCAGGGGAAAGGACGCCGAAGGCCGATATTCAGAGGGAGTTAGCAGGTGCCGAAGGTGGTAACGGGCGATGTGCTGACGGCCTAACGGAAAAGACCGGGATTGGGGCACCGACGATTAGCTGGTGTGGGCGGAATGGCACTTAGCTGCACACCAGTGTCAACCAAGAAACGCCTCAAACTCCGGTCGTTGCTGACGTAAAATGTACGACCAGGGTTAGAGCAGCCGAGAAAACGGGCTGCACTGACCTTCGGGCTGACCCCTTCTACCCGTTTGCGTTGCTTAGAGGTGAAGGAGCAGGGATCGATGAAGAGACGGGTCTTAGCATCAAAGGTAGCGTGACACCAGCAGGTGACAGGTGTTTTGGACGGGCTGAATTTGCAGACTGGACATGCGTGGAGGACGGTTTCGGTTGACTTTGAGATGAGGAAGAAACTGTCTGCTTCTAGAGAGAAGCTAGATCATCGGCCCGAATGATAAGCTCAGTTTCCAAACGCGAAAGTGGACAAGCGCGAGGAGTTGAGGGAGTTGAGAGTGCTTGAAGTGACGGCTCGAAAAAACCGTGCATTTCCATAAGTAGTTCGGCCATCTGAGTAAGTTGCGCGACCGAATGAATATCAAAAGCGGGTGTCAAATATGCTTCACTTTCAGTGAAAAATTGTCCATGGTCAACGCCCGACTTTATCCTTGATTAGGAAGAAGGAAGATTGCTGTTCGCAAGGGAGTCACCAATTGTCGGGATGGTATTGTCAACAAAACAAAGATTCCCGAATCAGAAGTCGGGGAAGACGGGTTGGGTTGGACAACTTTCACTGCTGAGGAAGTGCGTACACAAAGGTTCTGCATGCAGTCTCCGCAAGCCGTCTCTCCCGGCGCGAATCGCTACACATTACCAAAACTTTTCACTCAGGTCAAGGGTTTAGCAGCGTAGATTTCTTCGAAAACTGTGATTCGATGGCTGGCCTTATTCAGAATATTTTTCCCAGATTTTACAAGTATTTTGTTTGCATGTCGTTGACGTTTCCCGTTTATTTATTTCAACAGAAAAGAGATTATTTCCATTTTTTAATACTTGCGTGGATCGCGGACAATTTAAGTCACGGCACTGGGTTTAACTGTTTTCACATTTTACCTGTCATGCACTTATCAAAACAGCAACCACACCCACCAGACCTCGGAATTTAGCCCATAAGCAGTCAAATCCATTTAAGAGTGGATTACAAAAGCTCCAAACCCTGGCGAAGAAATACAGGAGAGGCGGCGAACTGGGCACTACATGCGCAGTCTGATGCCCCGTGGCCTCAACCCTTTGCATCCTGCTTAAAGGGCTGGTCCGCTGAAACCTATCGACAAAATATGGCATTTAGCGTTGCCCACACAGGATTACATCACCAGTATAAACGTAGTCCTCAGGTCCTACCTCGAAGACCGCTCTTGACGTGACTGCTGCGAACCGTAAGTGGTTTATAGTGTACAAGTGATTCCGCACGATAAAATCTAAAAAGCCTGAAATATATAACCTCGCAAGACCAATGTGCTCACGTATTCTGAAAAGCCTTACTTGTGGTACACTCGGGCTTTAATGCTCGATGCTCTGTCTGGTAAACAACACGACTAGCGTACTGGTATATTACGTGTACATTGACTAGCTGGCCATTCAATTTGAATAACCAGCAGTCCAGATCGCAATGGTTTACGAAAAGCAAAATTCGTTGCCATAAAAACAAGTCTGGCGTCCGATTTTGATCTAGATTTGGTTTCCTGTTCTACATTTCACGCATAGGGCACTTGCGTCTAAAAACTACTTTAGGAATTCAGAGCGAATTTATTTATCGATGCTTATTCCTTTAAAGGAAACGTCTTAGAGAGTGTTAGGACGGCCCAGAACACGACGCACCGTTTCTGTCGTCCGGGGGTCGCGCCTGACAAAGAACCGCAAACTCGCCGGACAGCCTCGCCTAGGAAGCCCGCATGCGAGCCAGACATTAGCACGCCGCTGAGTCATGCGCGACCTCCAGGGGCCAGCAACACGCGAGGGCCTGCCCATGCGGGCGCTCAGGACTGGACCAGTAGGAACACGCAAACCAGACAAGGGCTGAACCCTTAAATACGAAGCCACGGACGGAAGAATTAAGAGTTGATGTACACAGAGTGACTGACGCAGTAAAGCTGTTCTCTCCTATCCTGTCTGTCTTCTATTTCGCACAGAACTGGCGTTATACTAATTGGGGATACAACAAGTGGCGACGCAGGTGAACACAGAAAATGATCAGTGAAGAACAGATGCAGAAATTGTTGGAAGCACAGCAAGCCAGTTTTATGGCTCTTCTCGCAGGAATGCAGAAGGACTGGAAGCAGACAGGAAACGATGACAGAAGGAAGTGGCTCGAGGAAAGGATCACGGAATTCACTTACGACCCGGACGACGGTTTTACGTTCGATATGTGGTTCAGAAAATACGAATTACTGTTCGAAAGAGAGGGGAAAAGTCTTGCTGACGGAGAAAAAGTGGAAATTCTGTTGCTGAAACTTGGACGAATGGAACACGAGAAGTATGTCAAATTCGTCCTACCGAAGAAACCGGCCGAAATCGAATTCACGGAGACGGTGAGAAACCTGAAAGTTTTATTCACCTATTCAAAGTCATTGTTTAACAGACGTTTTGAATGTTTTAAATTGGAGAAGAGGGTAGACGAAGACTATTTTGATTTGGCAGGCAGACTAAATGATATGTACCAACAGGCTGATCTAGAGAAGGCAACAGCAAACCAGGTTAAGGCCCTGTTGTTCATAAAATCACTTACTCTACCGGAAGACGCGGACATACGCACACGGCTGCTGTCCAAACTGGATCAGGATGGTGACACGACTGTACAGAAGTTAGCAGATGAATGTTTTAAACTCAGGAACATTAAACAGGATACAAAGTTGATTGGCGAAACAAACAGTCAACAGCTATAGGTGTTGGACATTAGAAAAAACTGGCCGCCACAGAGAGAAACATTTCCCAGAAGACCAAAGACTGCCTGCTGGCAGTGCGGTGGATGGCACTATGTCGTCGACTGCCCCTATAAAACGCAGAAGTGTTTCAAATGTTCCAGATTTGGCCACAAATCGACATACTGCAGAGCAGGACGGCCAAGTCCCAGGAAACAGTGCAACGCCGTTTCTGATGGTGAGGCACAGGTTCTAGGCTGTGAACACCGAAAATACCTAACCGTGATCATAAATGAGAAAGCCGTCAGACTTCAAGTGGACACAGCGTCTGATCTAACGATTATAGCGGTAGAAACATGGCAGATGATAGGAGCACCCAGTCTTATCCCAAATCCTGTCACTGCAAGGGCATCAAACGGCACGGAAATGAAATTCAAGGGATGTTTTTCAACTAGTATCGGATTTGGGGATAAAAATTGTCTAGCAGACGTCTTCGTATCGGAGTGTCCGATCGATCTCCTGGGAAATAAGGCAATCTCTGAGTTGGGACTATGGAGTCAGCCATTTGACAGAATCTGCTGCGCAGTACAAGAAACGGAACAGAATCTGCGGGAGAAGTATGCAAAAATGATGGAAAAGTCAGTCGGGAAATGTACCAAAACGAAAGCAGTTTTACGCATTAAATCAAACAAGAAACCAGTTTTCAGGCAATGTCGTCGAGTTCCGTTTGCAATCCAGGAAGACGTGGAGAAAGAGTTGGAACGTTTGCAAGAGAAAGGTATAATCTACCCCACAAATTACTCCGCATGGGCTGCCCCAATTGTAGCGGTTAGGAAGCCAAATGGGAACTTGAGACTGTGTGCTGACTATTCAACGGGTTTAAACGATGTTTTGGAGGATTACCGCCATCCTCTACCGACGGTGGAGGAAATTTTTGCAACGTTAAATGGTGGAAAGTCATTTGCACGAATTGATCTTTCAGAAGCCTATTTACAGATAGAAGTGGAGGAGGAATCACAGGAGCTACTGACGATCAACACTCCAAAAGGTTTATTCAAGTTTACGCGGCTAAATTACGGCATTAAAACGGCTCCAAGCATTTTCCAGCAGGTCATGGATACAATGCTTACGGATACGCAGGGAGCGGTTGCGTACTTAGACGACATTCTAGTAGTTGGTCGCTCGGAGGAGGAATTACTAGAAAGGCTGGACAAAGTCATGGAGAACCTTGTCAATTATGGATTTAAAATTAACATGCAAAAAAGCGAATTTTTGCGGAAAGAAATTCACTACCTCGGATTCATAATAAACGCAGACAGAAGAGCACCGGACCCCGAGAGAGTGCTGGCATTTCAGAGCATAAAACCCCACAGAATGTAAAGGAATTACAATCCTTCATGGGTCTTGTGAGTTACTACGGGCCGTTCATAGAGGGGCTTCACAGCTTGAAGGGACCTTTAAATCAACTTTTGTGCAGGGGAGGAGTGCCAAGCAGCTTTTATGACGATAAAGGCTAAGATAAATCATTCGACAATGCTCTCCCATTTTGAGTTGTGAAGTGAAACGATCGTCCAGGCCGATGCCTCTGACTATGGACTGGGCGCAGTCTTGCTTCAAAAGAATGTGGATGGAAAAGTTCAGCCTCTAATGCATGCTGCGAGATCACTGACGAAAGCAGAAAGAAATTACAGTCAGATAGAAAAAGAGGCCTTGGCTATAATCTTTGCTGTCCAAAGATTTCATCAGTTTATATATGGCAGAC